TAATTATATACCTATAATTATATATGAACAATTCAATTTCTCATACTAAACTTTTACAAAAGAACGAAAAATATTTAATGGATATATGTGGATATTTCATATATAATAATAATAATATATGTTTATATATGTTTATTTAATATATTTATACATGTTCATACATGAAACATTTTTTACTGAAAACGTGAAAAAAATCACATACTTTTAACCTAATTTCAAAAGAGATTAGAGAATGTGAATTTTGCTTCATCTCATTTGTTTCACAACTAACTGCGATAAAGTCGACATAATCAACATAACAGACGGAAAGTTTTTCTCGTCCAAGAATTTCACGTTTCTCATTTTACGTTTCGCATAATGTATTTGATCCTTTTATGATTCCAAAAGATTTGTCGATTGTTTCTTATTGCAAACATGTATCAACCGCAAAATATATTTATTAAGATATTCCTGACATTCATTGAAATGTCCCTCTGGTTCCTTGGATGTCCTACATTCCGCAAAATGATACATACCTCACATTCAACATTAATCTAACTATTTTTGATAATATAGTAATAGAAGTAAGATAGTATAATAATAGAAGATCAACTTTTATCTTTTTCCATTCTCTTTTTATCTTTTTCCATTCTATTATTTTTTCCCCTCTCACGATTATTATGACTATTGATTTTAAATTATTGATGATTATATATAAATATAAATATAAAAATAATAAAAGAGATAAACTTAATTTCTTCTTTCTTAATTTCAAATTACTTTTTTTCTAGAGCTAGTAATAAAGCATCTCCAAAAATTGACGTAAATGTTTTATGCAACAAAGAATAAATTAAAAAATAATTTCATTAAAAAATAATATTTATTTTTATATTTTAATATTATTATATGTTCTCTTTTGGCTTTTATTACAGTCTTTAGAAGGAAGGAATAAACTGAAATTATGCTTTATATTTATGGCCAAATCTGTATTAGTCTAATTATTTATCGTAAATATCATAAAATGTACTTTTTTTCATTGATAACATCATATGAGATATATAACGTTATATTTTGTTATATATATTATTTATATATATTCTAATTTTTTAACCAAAAATTTTAATAAAAAAATCATAAGCTTGGCCTGGAATATGTTGTTTTGCAAATTAGTTTTGTTTATTATAATTTATTCATATTTACATTTTTTTTTAATATTAAATTATTAGATGATTTAATTGAATACTAAGAAACAATCATATTCAAATTTAATAGTATATATGTACACACAATCATATCGCAGTTACGAAATAAATTATTATTAACTTTTCCAACAATAAATAATTTTTCTTTGTTTATTATGTTATAGTTGTGCAATTGTAATTATTATAACATTGCAGTGGTAACACTATTTATTATTACATCGACATTCATTTCAATACATAGCCGTTGAATTTGCGATTTGTATTACAGAAATTGTGATTGCGATCTTTGTGATATTACAGTATAGTTGCCTTGATAATTAATCGCAACTTTCCGATAATGACAATTATTATCATTAAAAACAATAATTGATGCAAAGATCACCGTATCATGAAAATCTATTGAATGACCATCGCAGTAATTTCGGCGAATTAATTATAGCAATTATCGATAGCGTTAATCACGTTTATTTAAAATTTGGAAGGGCTTATCTAATTAAATTATGATTTAGAAATAATATGATTTTTGTGCTGTTAAAATGAAAAAATTATAAAATGAAGTATAACTCTAAATCAAAAATTATAAAATATATTTATAAATAATATTGATTTATCATTAGGTACATTTTTAGTAAAAATGATACAGAACGTATCATATAATATATAAAATACATCTTTTTTAGAAAAACTGTATAAATTTTTATTAATACATAAGGGCAATAAAGTTATGATATTCTTTTCTTTTAATGAAGCTAATTACTTTCTAGATTTAGATAAGAACACTTTAATAGCATCTCATAATAATGCAAAAAATATCATTTTAGGGTAGGCCAAGACAAATCAAATTAATATAATATAATATAATTAATTAATATAATATAAGTTTCGAGAAAGAGTTGTCGTTAATTTTGTTACTTTTTTTGTTTCAAAGTTTTATCATACTAGTTATTTCTGCGCATTTCCACTGCATCGAAAACAATAAACAATAGTCATGCAGTATCAGTCAACGATACAAACACAAAGATCGTGAATGCACGAAGAAATATTTTATTTCTTATACATATAAAATCACAATCCTACTAAAAAATATTTTACAACTTATAAAGAAAAAAATATATTGAAGTACTTATATAATAATTTTTACAGAATATATATTTTTACTGAATCAATATAATAAGCTGATAATCCACTTAGCCATTCAATTTTGAGCAAATTTGAATTTCATTTTCTTTTAATAAGAAATATCACATTTATGTATTATTTTAAAATCGAACCAAAGTTGTAAAAATTAAGAATTTATAAAACTTAATAAAAACTTAATAAAACTTAATAACAAAATTTATTTTGGATTACTTTTTTACCACTGAACAAAAATTGTTCTGATTCGATTCGACCTCTATCCTAATTAGATATTAATTATTTATCGATTTCCAAAAATATACTTATTACACTTAGTCTATTTCCGCGTATAGAAGACTCTTTTTTTATCGTTTCAAATCATGATGCCATTTATTTCATTCGAAAGAAATATATACTTTAAGTCTCACCGATATGACATATAGCCTCGCTACGTACGAGCTTCGATGACTTTCTCATTAAGTAAAAAAAACTTCATAATGAATTTAAATGACCACTCGTTATTAGATATACGTGACCGAAATGTTCAAACATATCGTCGTCGCATGTGTTCGCTCGTCGTGAATTGCATTTTCATTCAAGTTTTTCGTTCGCATTTACGCAAAGACGTATGTTGATTTCACTATGCGTACGATTTCACTATGTGTCATTTCGATAGCTGAATATCTTCAACCGGTATAACTAGTGCATCGTTATTAAAGTTTCAATTCTCGTGCCTGTTTAATGCGCATATTTTCTAACAAAGATACTTCTACGTGGATAAATGAGAAAATATCTTTACGATCGTTCTCGTTTTACGATCTTTTTTTATTTGCCCGATTACGCGCGTGCTTCGATATTTAGATGCAAAAACCATTTTATCGAGGAAAAGAATTTTAATACGATATTTCTGAGTCTGTAGAGATCTCATGAGATCCTGATTTCACAATTTTCAAGGACATCAAAATATTCAATTCTTTTGAATAAATATTGCATTAATCTTTTCTCAAATAATTTCTCCATTAATAAATGGAAATTAGAAAGTAAATATGTAAATGTATTAAAGAATTAATTTACTTTGAATAAAATTTGAGTTAAAAATAATAAAATAATTTTTGCAATTACGTACAATTACGTAAAAAGTTTTCTATTTGTTTTTATAAACCAGAAAAATATATAAATGGAAAAACATTTTGTAGTTTTAGTGTTCTATGTTTTCATATGCTGTTATATGTACAATTGAGAAATTTATTTTAAAAATAGCATAGGATTCTATTATTTTGAGCTCTTTTAGAATATATCGAGCATTGCTTATAAA